TATGAAATTTGTCACATTTGTACTGGTTTAAAGAGATATGCAGACTTACTGCAGACTCGCTATGTTGTAAAACAGCAAAAGCTCTCCTTCTCTGTCCCTCTCACACAACCTGCACATATTTTATAAGGAAGCTTTCATGTTCTGTTTATCAAAACACCGCGAAGGGGGGAGGTAAGGGGGCCAAGAAAATGCATATGAAACAACAAAACCCCTCGACAAATAAACAGCACAGTGTTCCCATGGCAGCGCGTTGCATTAATCTGAAGGCTGGTTTCCCATGGCTGTGTCTCACTGCCCCATAGACCTCCACTCTGTCTCACTGATGGCTCCTGTGATTGCAATCATCCATCTTACTGTCAAAAGCAAAAAAAACAAAAAGAAGGGCAAGAAAGGGGAAATCGCACACACCATCTCGCTCTCGCTCCCTTGTGTCCAGCAAACAAGGCACCCCAATGTGAGCAGAGCCGACACATGGACCACAGGCCCTCTGCATTGTGTGTGTGCCCGGGCTTGTATGATTAACAGCGAGAACATGTGTGGGTGTGCATCTTTGGTTGTCTGTGCCTGCACTATACTGCATGATCAGTCACTGGAGTGTACACGGGGGGGAAGCGGTGGACATGTCTGATCTTGCAGCTGATCAAAAGCACCAGAGACTTGTTCCCTTGTGGTCGTGCGAGCGGGCCCTCATATCAACACGTCTCTGTTCAGTAGACAGGAAAAACAAGAGGAGAGAGACAGACAGACAGAGGAGGAGGAGGAGGGGTACTTGAAGAGAGAGACAGAAACAGGCAGGCATAGCAAAGATGAAAGGATGCATAAAGAGGCCAGAGTGGAGTATGACAATGATACATAACCGCACTTATCTCTCTGTTCTGATGAGCTAATTGAAAGGCAAAAGTCAGCTCTGTTTGTGTCTGTAGATTTAACAGCGTGCGTGATCCTTCGATGCAAACCTGACAGCAACTGTCTGTAAAACGCTAAATGTGGAGAAAGAAGAAAACTGTGATGTCTATAAACTTCCCCTCGGGATGCGGCTGGTTACCTTAACTACAAGACCTTGTGTTGTGTGATCACCCACAGAGAAGACAAAGAGCAGGAGCGAGAGGAAGAAGGGGGAAAAAAGGAGGACAAAGGGAGGAGGAAGATGAGGAGGTGGAGCTTCTGTGAAGCTTCTGCTTGTAAATTGTCTGGCCACGCTGTGAAGTTGTGGTGTGAGAATGTAATTATGTGCAATAAAGTGGTGATCCTATGAAATGAATCCCTTTGTTGTTTGCAACTTTAATCTCACTCCAGTATAACCAACGCAGCGACGTTTCTGCTGAGCCCAGCGTTTTGCAAACGGAACAACAAAGCCCACCTGAACATGATTTAGTGTAAAAGATAAAGAGACGTGCACAAACACACCAGAACAGATGTATTTAAAAGGTAGACTCAACACTCTAAAACATATGATTACTTATGACACCGAAGACAAACAGATCGGCCTATTGTCGTGATTAACGACTAGATCAAAACTTGGATCTTGTCGTAAACTCGCTTCCTTGCCAAAAGTCGTAGAATGAGATAAAACACATTCTCATGTCTGAACAATAATAGACTGTATATAAAGATGGACACAAGATAGTAGGTTTGATTGGTTTGTGAAGTCCCATTTTAAGGCCTTGACTCAAAGTTTGTATTAGTTGCCTGGTTGGCTAATGCTAGCAAGCTTGTTTAGCTAGGTTTACTGCAATGATGCATCACATGACACAGGTCCCTGCTAATTAATGTCAATTAGTAATGCACAGATTCTTATAAAAAGTACAATTTTATTCACAAAAACTGGATCACAAATTTGTTGGATACTCTGTACTTAATAATGTGAAATAATGTTTGGATTAAAAATCCTACAGAAAAGATCAACACCACAAGCACAGCTCAGAGGTCCAATTCTACAAGTAGTTGGGACCAATATCCTCCTGTCATTCAAAGCAGCTAAAGCTCCTAATAATGCAAACTTTAAGGCTTAATAAAGAGTTATGACCTTGTAAAGTTGTTATGAAAGGAGAAGTTTTTCTGTGAGCTTGCTTATGGTCGCCTTTGCAAACGGAGTGAGCCATGAGCCACAGTTTGGTGTCATTTCAGCTTGTCCTCCATCGCTCAGCTTTCTGTAACCTGGTGCAAGCTGCAGTGTAAAATCCTGCTGCCCTTCACTGCCATTTCAGTGATATTGCAGTGCTTAAGAGGGCAACTCCACAACAGCTTGAAAAGGTGAAACTTTCTGGAGAAAAATCCTCTGCAGTTTCTTTGTGTCCTGGTTTGATTTCTTCTTCTCCCATAGAGATGTCTCACGTCACATCATCTGCACAATTCTTGAGAGTTGCCCATCATTTTGGATGTGATACAACCAACAATCAACAGGAAAAAAATGTATGGATGCTGCCAGTTGCTTCCAGGCAAAGCTGGTTGTGGGGCTTATTACTGCGCAGTTGCTAGCAGCCACCTCTAGTTTGGATGGAAGACATCGACTTGTCTGCAAAGCAGTACTGACTACTTGCCAAGAGGTAGTAAAAAGCTGTGCCTCAGCACTTTCACTAAAGCTCAGAGAGCAGCTGGCAATTGCAAATTACAGGTAACTGTGTCAGTCTGCTAGAAACCAAGGAGGCTTCTACCAAGTGGTTGGAGAATGCACAGTTTGGGGTCTCTGACTGGTCTCTCTCTGTAACTGGGACGTTAGCAATTGATTGGTACCACTCACCAACTGGTAGCTTGTCCCTCCACTGTCACCATGATCGTCATGTCTCTAAAAGGGCTAATAAATTAGTGATGGGTCGTTCGCGAACGAAATGGCTCTTAGAGCCGGCTCTTTGACGTGAACGACGCGAGCCGGCTCCTTATCGCGAGCCGTCACGTGGGTTTTTTTTTTTTTTTTTTTTCTCTCAGCCTCACTCTGCACGCGAGCCTTGTGCTTTACGCTGGGCAGAGGGGGGAGGGGCGGTAGTTACACTCAGTAGCACAGGAACAGAGCCAGAGAGAGAGAAAGAGAGGCAGGGACAACAACATTAGAAAGGTATAGTAATCATCCACAACTATTTTCGGTTGCAGATGATAAAGGATTGAGAAAGTTTATTCATGCAGGTCCATATGACAGAGAATATGCATGTTCTTTTAGTTTTCATATTATAATTTATATTTAATTGTGTTGTGGTTTGCAGTGTTTTGTGTTCTTTTCACTTTAAATTTGTGAAAGGAAAAAGCTGAAAATTTAAATAGTTAAAACTTGAAATGTGAATAGTTGATTTTTGTATTATATGATTTATTTATTACATTTTATGTGGAGTGAATAAATAAAAGTATATTTACGGTGGCCCCTAGAGACAAAGCACATACAAACTTCAAATCACGTGCGAACTCTGAAGCATGTACAAACTCCAAAACACGTAAAAACTCCAAAACACGTAAAAACACGTACAAACTCCGAAGCACGTAAAAACTCAGAAGCATATAAAAACTCAGAAGCACATAAAAACTCAAAACAAGTACAAAAGACAACAGAAGTGCTCCAGGATGCTGGGCGCAGTGTTGAGCCTTTGTTATCTTGTGGCTACACAAGCCAGCAAGTACCAACGACCGGATTTGGTGTGTGGTAATAACAGGTAAATGAACTTTTTTTAAAATTATTTGAATATATATATGAGTGCCTGTGTATAAATACACAAACAATACACACATGCTTTCAATTGTGTAATTTAAGTGATCTAGTAGCTCTGCTTTGGAAGTTCAGTTCATGCTAGAAATGTGTTTTGGAGTTTGTACGTGTTTTGTCTCTAGGGGCCACCGCATATATTTATATATAAACATATATAAATAAAACCACTTGTTTTTACGTTAGTAATTCCTTTTGTGCATAATTTTATATTATTGTTAATAATAAATTAATTAAAGCAACAAAACAACCTGAAGAGCCGGTTCGGAGCCGAAAGAGCCGGCTCTTTTTAGTGAGCCGAACCGAAAGAGCCGGATCTCTAAAAAGAGCCGGAAATCCCATCACTATAATAAATTAATGTCATGGTTGCTTGTGCGTAAAACCTCAACATCATCGCTGTTTGTTTGTTTTCTGAGAAGAAGACCTCAGTGAGTCTGGTGCACCTGCAGCAGGACTTGTGTGACATCAAGAGTCAGTGAGCTACGGAAGCGTAGAGCTGCCACCCAGGCAAAAGAAAAATACAAGTGTATCACGTTATAACGTGAAAGGTTTATTGTTCTAACAAGATACTTTTCCTGTTTGTACAATATACTATCATGTTTGTACAATATACTTTTCACGTTTGAACAACATAATATCACGTTATTACAATATACATAATTATCACGTTCGTACAATATAGGATCACGTTCGTACAATATAAATATTATATTGTACGAACGTGATAATTATGTATATTGTAATAATGTGATATTATGTTGTTCAAACGTGAAAAGTATATTGTACAAACATGATAGTATATTGTACAAACAGGAAAAGTATCTTGTTAGAACAATAAACCTTTCACGTTATAACGTGATACACTTGTATTTTTCTTTTGCCTGGGTGGCAGCTCTACGCTTCCGTAGTGAGCAACACAAAGGTCGTGGTATGATTAACGTATATGGTCACCTCAGGTACACAGGTGTGGCTGTGAGCACAGCCTGCTACGGTAAGAAACACTTTGCTTACCCATAAAAACTAAGTAAATCCATCTATCAGCACCTGAAATATCATTAGCATGTTATATCTGTACAACACAAAACAAATTAGGTTACATCTGTACAAAAAAAGAAGTGTGAAAATGTCATTTTGTGGTTATAAAAGCCATTATGAGGAAGGTATATTTGTTATTACATTTCACCGTGTCAGGGATATAGGAAGATCGGAGGGTAATTAGAGTCTTTTGTTGTGTTACACATTTTTCACAGCCTGTTAACAAGTGAAACTGTAGACCACAAAAAGTGTAAATCCACTGGTGTTAATACTGGATTTTATTAAGATGTCAGCAGATCACAGAGCTGTAGTTTTTCATTTAGTTCTTCACTAGATGGAAAATTATTGTGGCTGTCAGAAATTCGTAAAATCTCAAACTGAGGCAAACCAAACAGATGATAGATTGTGAGAGCAGCACCGTAATCCCCAGCTGTGCTATTTTTTTCTTAACCTTAGGAAAGCTGTTTAATATTTACCTACAGAAATGAGAGTGGTATTGATCATAGCTCTAGTTCTTGGCACGAAAACGCACCGGCATATTTCCAAACATGCCTTTCACATAAGGAGCTTGTAAGCTAGAAAACAAATACCAGACAAGGCCGGAGCTTTATTCAGAAACCAACAGCTGGGTCTCCCGGAGACTTGTTATACAATAATCATATCAGTTTAGAAAGAAATCTCAGAGGCAGTTTATGAAGAAGTCAATGTAACCCTGACAAGTAGAGTCCCCTGACAGCATTTGCATGAAGGAGCACTGGGGCCAGGCGGCGGTTGTTGTTTCCAGGCTAAAATTCACCGGTTCCAGCATCCCCTTCCTTTAGCTTTCCAGATGTGACCCCTCCAGATGTTACTCATTTCACCTAGCCTTATTTTAAGCAGATATTCTTGGCAGCTTGTCATGTCTTACCTCAGTATTAACAAGGCAGAGCAGCAGAGAGACAGAGAGAAAGGAGGGTAAGAAATATGTTGGACAGGCACAGAAGATGAACCTCGAGGTTATTCCAAGAACATGTTTGACACTTAATAGTATATTTTCAGTCCAGCTCTGAGCTGCTTTGCAACCTCAGCCAAGGGAATTGATGCCTTTACTAGGCAGTCTTTTATCTGAGGAAAGAAAGATGCCAAAAGGCTCATAACATTTTATGAGATGATATTTCATTGTATAACAACATGTAAGTGCTTCTGCCGAGGTTATGCAGACTATGATCACGCAGCAACAGGGTGAAAAAGGCTGGGGGGAGCCTTTTATATGGAAGAAATGCTCAACATCTCATGTCTGTATAGAACTTAATTTTTACAACAGTACTTTTTGTGTGTGTCAAAGAAGGCAAAATTATAACAAAAATACATTAACAAAAAAAAGGTATGAGGAATCTGATAAATCAGATATCCAGTTATGCAAAAGTTTGCAACATCCTCCACAACTACTAACAAAAGCATCCAAATTAGACGATCCTCTTAAAGGGCAACTCGTCTTTGTCTCTCGCGCAGTGCTGGAGTTTGAACAGGCTGAAGGCGTTTGGTTTTGAGGGCAGTGAAAGACAGCGGGTCTGAAACGCTGCCAAATCCAGATCCCTCAGAGGTTTCTGTGTAAAACAATAAAGATTAAAAAACAGCTATCAGCGAGAAAATGCTCATCTATAAACACTGCTTAACAGGAATCATTTGATATTTTAGGATCCCTCATCTAAACTGCTCTCTGGAGCAATTAGAAGAGAAGACTGACACCGTTCTCATGTAGGCTGTGATACAAATTGGACACCAGAATGGAGAAAATGGAGGTTTTATTACACTAACTAACATAAAAATATAAGTGAATTGGAAAACAATAAGCATACATTAGAGTGTGATGAGCTCTAAGAAAGGTGGGGGAGTGCGTGACCAGCCACAGAGGAAAACTAAAGCACTTTTTAAAGCTAATTATTTAGCAACCAGGGATTGCAAATGGCTTACACTATCTGGACCTGGAGGACAATCCAGGTTGCTTGAAAACTGGTTAGTATCAAGAGAAAGTCCAGTGCATACCTCTTAATGTTTGTACCTAAAATTGTGTAAGTGAATGTGTAATTTTTCAGGATGTTTTGACCTCTCTCCCTGTTGTTTACCCGTACTTCCTCTTTGCCTTCATCCTAACTGGTCATGTTTCCCCCTGAGGCTGGTTCTGGGGTTCCTTCCTTTTAAAAGAGTTTTTCCTTCCCACTATCGCCAATTGCTTGCTTATAGGGGATCATCTGATTGGTGGGGATTTCCTCTCTAACACTCTAGGGTCTCGGTTCCAGTCTTTTCTCTATATTCAGCTAGTTGTGAGTGCAGGTGAGTGCAGCTTTAAACTTAAGGGGCAGACCTGGGAGCGGTATCAGTCTTTTCATCTTACTCCCCGCCTGAAAATGAATAAGTGTTTTTTCCACAAAATGTCAACTTGTTCCTTTAATGTAATAATTCTCCCGTCTGGCAGTTTTTCTCCTCACCATGAATGCCAATCATGTGCTCCAGGATCAGGACCCTCTCAGCCAGGATCTTCAGGGCCTCCCTGAGCTGCTGCACGGCTTCGCCCTGAACAGCACCGGCATGTTTATTTAGGATAGTTTTTCAAATGAGGTCAGGAGGAGGAAAAAAAAAAACACCCTCTCGCCTCTTACCTCGTTCAAGCCTTCTCCTGGCTCTCCTTTTGGCCCGGGTGCTCCCTGTGAGCAGAGAGTGAAATAATGTTGTTATCTATGTGTGAGTGTGTGTGTATTTTATGCAGCAGAATAATTTTCTACTTACAGGTAGGCCCTGCTCGCCTGTGGCACCCGGGGGTCCCTGGCAAAGGAAATGAAGAGAGAGAGAGAAAAAAAAAAACACGTAAGATTCCTGCATTTTTATCCCCTCACTAATCTGCCTCTTCACCCGATATCCAGTCTTAAATCAAGCTAGTAAAGGAAGGGGATCAGGTTTAAAGGCAGAGGCCCAGTAGAGAGCTGACTGCAGAGGGGACCTGACATGGCTGCCCTGATTAGTGAGGCCTGGCCTTGGATGAGAGAGAGAGCGAGAGAGAGCGAGAGAAGAGGATTAGTCACGGCTTGGAGTGAGTCTTTGAAGAAAAGCTCGTTCACCTTTAATGTGTTTAAGATTGCATGACAGCGAAGGCCACTTACAAAACGTAGAACAAAAAGCATTTTGATAGCTCATCAGCAACAAATATGCTCAGCCAGCCCGATAATCCAATAATGAGGTTGATTTTTTTTAAAGCAGCCTCACCCGCTCCCCTGGATCTCCTTTAGGGCCGGGACTGCCGGGCTTGCCTGGGAGGCCCTCCTTGCCCTCGTGTCAGACAAAGAGAAGGACACAGATTAGCGATGCCAGTCATACATAACTGTTTACTTTGTGCAGCAGTCTCAGTGATAGACACTCACATTTTGTCCCGGCACACCTGGTATCCCTGCACGTCCTCTCTCTCCTGGTGCACCTGCAGAGTTGTTCACAAATGCATTCACGTTGAGCTAAACTGATGAATGGCAAATATTTAATCTGGGCTCAGAGTGTAAAAACTTAACGCAGTCAATATTAGGATTATATTGTCCTGTGAGAGGGATTCACCAGAGTTTAAAATAGATGCATAATTAACCATCTTTTCTTTTTCTCCTTTTTACCCCCGAGTACAAGTCGCACTTAGACATTTTGTATCAGTGTTTTAAAACTGCAGTATGTCTTGCTTATACTCCAGAGCTATTACGGGATTGTTTTCATTATGAAGTGTTACAACAATTACTTTTTGTCTCTGCAGCTGAAGAAGTATTTAGAAGTATTTACCTCTACAATGTAAAAATGCTCAGTTTGAATCATTCTATAACCTAACATTACAAATACAGTGTTGTCAAAAAGTATTTGCACGCTTCCTGATTTTTTTAGGGCTTTTTTTTGTGATGCAGGTTTAATATTGGCCAGTGATACTCTGAATAAATAAAACATGATGGTTTTTAAATTATGATTTCATTTATTAAAGTGGGAAAAAATATCCGAACACACCTGGCCCTATGGGAAAAAGTTACTACCCTGCCTTGTTAAATCATAAATTGACTGTGATTAACCACATTTTTGGAAAGCTGAGATCAACTTTACTAGCCACACCCAGAAGTGATTGCTCCCAGACCTGTTAAATTAAGAAATCACTTAAACAGAACCTGTCTGACAAAGTGAAGAAGGATAAAAAACCTCAGACACTAGCACGTTATGCCACGCCCATTAAACCTCAAGAACTGCTGAGTCATTGACGTCTATCAGTCTGGAAAGAGTCCCGAAGCCACGTCTAAGGTTTTGGGAATCCAGTCAACCACAATGAGAACCATTCACATTCATCCACAAATGGAGAAAATAGTGGTGAAGCTTCCAAGGAGTGGTCGACCTACCAAAATTACTCCAACAGCCCATCGGCGACTCATCCAAGAGGTCACAAAAGACCCCAGAGCAAGATCTAAACATCTGCAGGCATCACTTGCATCAGTTCAGGTCAGAGTTCATATGATAAGAAAGTGATTGGACAAAAATGGCATTTATGGGAGAGTTCCAAGTTACAATACTTAAAAAAAATCACCATCTCAAATTTGCCAAAAAACATCTTGATCATCCCTGAGAAAATATTGTGTGTACTGATGAGACAAAAGCTAGCTTTTTGTTTTTTTCTGGCATAAAACTAACACAGCATTTCATAAAAAGAACATCATATCAGCAGTCAAACATGCTGGTGGTAGTTTGATGGATAATTAATGGAAGCATGAATTCTGCTCTCTACCAAAAAATCCTGAAGGAGAATTTTCAGTAATCAGTTCATGCCCTGAAGCTCAAGCACATTCGGGTTATGCAGCAGCACAGAGATTCAAAACACACAATTAAGTCCACCTCTGGATGGCTCCAAGTGGCCTATTCAAAGTCCAAATGACCCTAAGCAGGCTGCTAATGCTTGGAAACCCTCCATTGTGGCTGAATTAAAACCAAAAGTTGTCTATAACGATGTGAAAGACTCTTTTCCAGTTATCACAAACACTTGATTACAGTTCTTGCTGCTAAGTGTGACAAAGCCAGTTATTAGGTTTAGTTGGCAATTTTTTCACATAGGGAAAACTGAATGAAAAGAATGAAATCCTCATAGAAAAACTGCATTTTATATTTACTTGTTTAATATTAGAAAGTACACTCAAAATATGTATAGATATGTATTATTGTCTCATGCACTGATAATTCATAACAAGTTTAACGGTTTAAACGGTGACAATTGAAAGATCCCTGATTTGATACCAGGAGGAGACACAAATCCTTTGTGGGTTGAGTCACAAAAAGAGCTTCCGGTGTAAAAATCTGCAGAATCAAACATGTGGAGCTGCCCGCTTTGTGAATCAAGGAACGGCCAAAAGAAGCTTTACAAGTACATGTAAATCTTACTTCAGTAAAATACAGGAGTAAATGGACTCAGTCAGTTTCCACCACTGATTCTATCCACGCTCGGATCCAGTGATGGGATCCAGTCAAAGGTTAATGTAAGAAAACATTTCATATTTTAGGTGCAACACCATCAAAAACAAAAAAAGAAAGATTTGCTTTAGTTGTACTAATCTGTGCTGAGCTTTTTCTGAGAATGTGCTGAGAATGTAAACAATGAAGGTTTGGATAACATTCAGTTTTTTTGGTCTTCATTAGGCCAGACAGGAAATTGAGGGAAATGACATTCAGAAAACAGCCCGGGGCGGACTCAAACCCATGACGCTACCCAGGCCTGCTATAGTTGTGCCTGGGTGATATGTGTTTGCACTGAAGGACTGAGGGCAAAAAACAGCTTTTATTCATACCTGAGGGGCCGACTGGACCGGGAGGACCAGCTATGACCTGAGGTTCCTGGAGAACGGCATGGATGGGGTTCTCTTCTGCAAGGGAAAACAAAACAGATTAGAAAACGTGAACATCTGATCTACTGAGCATCCGAAACAACAAGAGGTGAGTTCACCGCAGCTTATCATTTGGAGTGTTTTTTTTGTTTTTATAATAAATCATCTACTAATATGCAGCCATGCAAATATTTACACCGTCAGCAAAGTAGAAATGTTAATAAAGTCCTTTAAATTTTCCTCTAGATTGTGGCCCATTTCCCGTTTACTTAAAATTTAACTGTTTTTGTATAAATACCGTCATTAATCAACGCTGTGAATAATCTACTGAAGTGACTCACCGGCTGCAACACACTGACCAGTCAGTTACTCTGAAAAATTGCCAAAGTTTCCATGACTGCAGTGCTGGTGCTTGCCAGAAGTTTTGTGGTTATTAGAGCTACAAAGACAGCAATGTTGGTGTGAAGTAGGCTTCATTCAGTGGCAACTATAAAGCGTGTCCCTGCAATTTGGACACTGGAGCAAATTTATTATAAAAACAGATACACCCTCACAGTTACAAGTTTATTACACTTTTATTTAGACATAAAAAGTGTAAATGCAAAGGCCAAGTCAACTATTCTTAACCTGACAGGCCATGCTTTTCAGTTACTGAAGACAAACCTGAAGGCAGATAGTCCAACAAACAAGCAGCAACTTAAGGTGTTTGCACTAAAGTCCTGCAGTGCAAACAGCATTTGGTGACGTCCATGGGTTCCAGACTTGAGGTACTCATTGACTGCGAAGGATTTCTATTTTTCAAATAATCTTTATAAATTACAATTATTTTAGTTCAATCACATCTCAACTCTTTGATTTAAAATCTACTGTGATGCTATAAGGAGGGAAAAACTACAAAAATTGAGTCACTGTCCATATACTTACAAAAGTACCTGCAGATTTAGAAAGAGCCTAAAGATACCAGATCTGCCTCCAGGTTTTATTTGCTGTGTTCTGAGCATTTCAAACACGTCTTTAAAAATATATTTGTATTTACAGTATATCGTCCAGTTGTTGAATACATGTACCGCTACCCTGCTGGAGAATCAAAAAGCCTATATGTCGTGTGATAGGATGTTTAATTCAAACCTACACAAGAGTTAAAACATCAGGGGGTCTCCAGCCAGACGGTAGAGTTTCCCCAGCAGTCAGCAGCTGGAATACATCCTGTGAGCCATTGATGGACATGAACAGCTGGTTGATCTCAAAGAGGTCCCATTTAACGGAGTAATAAATGCCTGGACATGATCTGTCTTCATAGAAAGCAAGCATGAGGTGGAAGTCATGTCTTGTTCTCGACATGTTGGATATTTTAAAGTACACTTGTAAGTATAGATTTTGTTTGAAACCACGCCACACTTCCTCACCACTTCAACATATGTTCAGCGTCAGTCTTCCCCCGTGTTGAGACAGCACTGTTACATTATGGCTGCAGTCCACTGTAAGGCTCTAGATGGAGCAGATTTCCCTCTGGAACTAATTTTCTAATGCTACAGTCTCCTTGAGCCTGGCTGCCTCCCTAAGAAACTCCACATGAGTGGCAGACTATCTCCTCCCTTGTTCAAAGCCAGCCCAGCTTTTGGCTCGGGGCCGTGGCCAGTTCCCCCAAAACACAGACTGTTGTGCTGACAGCTAACAAATTAGGTCTGATTTACAGCCAGTTGGCCCCCCTCAGCTTACATGGTCCCACAGACCCAAATCTACATAGTTCCAGACCCGCAGACACAGTCCCGGGCTCAGAAAGGCAGACAAAGCCAAAAGCCTAATCAGAGCCAGCAGTCCTCGTGAGGTAATGATTATACCATGGATTCCTACTGCCTCCCTGTGGTCAAAGTGAAGTGTTCAACAGCAGAGAAGTAATGTTTTCATATATGTATTGCGCTTCTATTGCCTATTTGTTAAAAGATATGATCACTTAAATGTTGCAAATGATAAAAAAAAGCAATGCTTTCATGTTAACATCCAATACCAAAGCTTCACCCTTGCATGTGTCGATCTGTGCAGCGAATGTACAAATGCATGACTTTGTACTAAACTGGAAACAAAGAATGAAAAATGAGTCGGTGTATTTTATAATCAAGAGTCTTTTTAAAACTCCCAAGCCTAATCTTGTGATTTAGATGAACGCTTTCCAACTGTGTTAAACGAGGTTGCAGTAAACAGTGGCTCTGCAGCAGCAAACACACACGGAAACAATTAAAATAAATCTATGCCAGCCCTGCTGGGGAAGAGAAACAATACTCTCTCCGTTGCAAGTTTGGGTCTTTTTCTAAAAACGGCCTCTGTGCTTCCACCTGTTTCCCCTTTAAACTATTTTCCACGTAGAGAAACCGGTGTGACCAGGGTTCATGTTCTGCCTGACAAGAACATGAGATATGTGAGCATGAAGCACATGACCCGGTGCAGGATGAACTGCAGAAATGGACTTGAGGTAATGGCACCAATTCAGACCGTCCAAAAAAACTTAATGCTCGAATGGTTTTACAATAGTTCTCGGGTCATAATTCATCCATATGGGTAAGCTCTACTATCATGCTCTCATTTGAGCCCATCTGGGAGAATTTAGCTCTAAGTTACTGTGAAATAGCACATTTGACTTGGAATCGCCTACCTTGATGGTCCACGTGAAAAACGTCGCCCCGGTTTCTGACAGGAAACGGACTCGGTTCTGAAGGACCCGGAGGACCTGGTGGGCCAGGGGGGCCGGGTCGACCGATCTCTCCAGGAAAACCTCTTTCTCCCTTTGGTCCTGAGCATCAAGGAAAAATAAGCGAGCTCAGCTTTAAACAAGAACGAGTTAAATTTTTAATAAAACAGCTCAATAGCAATAATTTCCCAAACCATGTTTAAATGATCAGACTGACTGCTAAATGTTTTTGCTTTTTTACCAACAGGTCCAGAACTGCCTGGAGACCCTGGTAGACCTGGAAGTCCTGTAGAACCTGGAGGCCCTGGAGGTCCCATTGGCCCTGGAGGCCCTCTGTTTCCTGATGCTCCTAAATAGAGAGAGAGAAAGAGACGGTTATGAGTGAAAAGCAGAATTAAGTGATCATCTAACTCCACAAAGAACAATGGACAAAAAAAACCCTTATCAAAAACCTTGAGCACCATAATTCGTTCCATCTTCCATCTAATTCCTTTTCTGTCTGCAGCCAGATGGTTGCTGGCCAGAAAGTATAAATTTTATCACACCACGCTGCGTGTTTACTCCTCTACATGGTATACACGCCAGATCAGATCACACCAGAACACATGCACAACACATGATAGAGAGAAAAAATAAAAAAATAAAAAAAACACTGATTGCTCCGAGACAAATTTTCCACTTTTTGATTATTTTCATAATTGATTAATCGGTTTTACATTCACTTGATTCCCTGACTAATGTTTGGGAGGTAAAAATACCAGAAGAATGACTAACAGTATTTCCTATAAAGCCCAGAGTAGTATCTTCACACTGATTGGTTCATCAATTCAACGATCCAAAAACCAAGAGGTTTAGGAAGACAGTTTTCCCTTGAAATATGACAAAAATAGTGCACTTGAATGTGTTTTCACCTGGTGGTTGAGTGGGGCGGGATGTGTCCACCTCATTGTCCGTTGAGCCCCCCGGTAAACTACTGGCTGTGGGCAGAGCTGAGCATCCCTCTTCTAAGAGTGTGATCTGGAAACAGAGAGGCAGATGTTTGACACATCTGTTAAGCATCCACTGCAAACACTTACAGCGTTTTGCTGTCAGGATGGATGGATCTGACGGATTTTCTTTACCTTTTTTTCTATCGCATTTATTCTGCTGTTCATTTGATTGAAGCTGGTGCAGTTCATGCACTCTGTAAGAAAGAAAGACATATTTCCACATTACAGCAGACACACACGCTGCTTCTTCGCCATCTGTCTTTCCTTATACTCTCCTCTCCGCCTTGTCTGTTTCATTCCTGTTTCTTTTTTTCATCCTGGCACCATCGGTAGCATCTCACACAGAGCAGGTCAGGCCAAGATACACAAGAACAATGCTCATCAAACCAGACCCGAGAATTTATTATGAATTCCTCCTTAAATCATGTCACTTGCTCAGGGAATAAATATTGTCAGGACTTCTCATGAAATTCTCGCTTGCATCGCAGCTCTGCGTGCTTCTGTCTGTCTGCCCACACTCACATCTTCCTCCAGATACCCAAACCATTTAAAGCAGATTCACCCTGCCACTGAGCTCCAGTGTTTTTCAGAGGCTGAGGCAGTGTCACCCACTCGGTTTATTTTAGAGTACACATTTCTTCTGCTCTAAACACTCACAACACTGCATGTGTATTAACTCGCAGTGAGCTTGTTTGGCCACTTGGAGGCGCTGGAGAGAAACGACAATTCATCATGTGGACAAAGTGTTTAGCTTTTAAATCATGTGGTGAAAATGTTCTACCACAGAAACAGAGAAACATCCTTCATTTGTCGTATTTGTGTCGGCTTGTTGAATTGAAGTTTACTGTTCACTCTCTGTTTAGCTCTGATTTTGGTCTCCACCACCTCTTAACAGAAAGCTCCAGCTCTTTAGCTGCTGAACGGTCCACGGTGTTCAGCATCTATGGTCTCTAACTGACTCTGTCTGCTGTTTGGTGCTGAAGAATAAAGACTCCGGACTCATTGTAGAAGTGGAGCAGGGCAAAAATCAGCACTTTTTTCATATGTTTTCTGTAAATCTGTTGCAGCATTTTCTTAAAAATTGAGTTAGATTGTATTTTATACTCAAATCTTGCGCTGGGGTTATTTTTGAAACAGGTGGAGTAATGAAACAGACTTAAAACCTGGTGTATCATACCACTCGTCCTGTGACAGGTGGCCACCCTCACGACCCTGGTGCTGAATTGGATACGAAGACAACTGGATGGATGGATGGATGGATGGATGGACGGACAGTATCTTAACATTTATTCTAAAATAAATCAATGAAGTCTGGAATTTATAAATTTGGAGTGAAATCTCCAAGCTAGATATTAACCAGTTGAAAGCCTACTAGGAGTAACCTGTGAAGCTGTTTTCTGAGCATGTGCATCAGAACTTAGCGAGGGTGGTCACTGCCTATGCAGGTACCCTTTGAAAAACCCAGAAACTAAACACCTTTATTATTTATATTAACATGTCAGTCTTTATGGGGGAAAGAGTCACGGCTGTGTTTGTGGTTTAGGTTTCCTCTCACTGGGCTGTTGATGACTTATCCCAAAACAATGATTTAGTAACAAAGTGTGGCTCCACAGTCTAGTGGTTTACACATTCACGTAACATTTGTAACATTCCCAGTTTAAGACCAGTTGGAGACACAAATCTCTGAGAGGTTTGTTTCATAGAAATCTGCCAGATCAGTAACGTAGATTAATAACTTAAGCACAGATTAACTACTACTTCCTGATTCAGTATAGTGACTTTTAACTGGTAATGTATTGCAGATTATTTTCTTTTGTAACTTTGGTTTTTATACCGATATGTAACGAATTATAGTTGAACTGGCGACCTTATGATAAAAAGACCTTCTTACTACCTGAGCCACCAGCACAAATACCCATTTGAGTTCATGGTTTACAATATAAGACGTCCCCCGTGATGGTTACAGATTTGGCGGATAGTAATTGAAAGATTTTTGAGAGGGTTTTGCGTAATGTCTTAAATTATTAAAATGCCAAAGCTGTGGTTTGAGGCTCAAAAAGCCTGTTGGATCTCTAGTAGGCAGAGGTACAAAACGATACCCTGGAACTAAGTGTCCAAGCAGGAACAACAAAAAGACATTTTTATGTGCCATTGAATGACAAGATAATAATACTTGTCAATAAAAGTCAGTTTGGTAAGTTTTTCTGGCATCTTAGGTTATTTTCTTTTTGCCGTCTTAACCTGCAAAATATCTATGCGTATTTGCTTTACTGGTTTTGGCTTTGGTTACCTTCAGTCTATTTTGGTCCTCTTTCTCACACACAGGTTGCACCATTTTAGCCACCACTAAACCACAGATAGGCTTACTTATACATTTTCTGGATGTGCAGCAATTTTGGATACACTACGTTAGCTTTGATGCAAAAAAACCCAGAACAACCTAGTTTCAAAGAAAAGCCCTGCATTTGTTTTAAATCCAAGCCTTCCTTGAGCCCACGGCTTATAGGAAGTGTGGAATGTCAGCTGTCAGTCCTGCAGATGGGACCCACCCACATTGTGGTCATAGCAGGGATACCTATAACGAGGAGCAACTGGTGCTCATAAAATAGCCAATGCAACAACAAAAATGACCCAAACGAGCTCTGGTCTGCCCGCAGCACGCGGAGTGCTAATGGCAGCCGCTGAGGTTTGCGCTTTACTAAAATAGGACACGGCGAGCGCCTAAAGATCATCTGTGAGTCCACAGTTGCGTACGCCCAGTCCTGCGCCGTGTCAAACAGTGTGGGTGAGGTTTCTTAATGCTTCATTTCAACATCTTGAGTTTTACCCTGGAGTGTAGCCACAGACGGAAACAACAATCAACAGTTAAACCCAAAACGCATTCCTCAAAATGTATCAACCAAAATACTGAAAGCTGCTCAACCGCTGACCCCACATGAGCTGTTTGTTGTGACTCAAAGCACTGAGGTTTCTTCAGAGACTCTAAGGACATGAAAGAAGAACACAACAGTGAGACTGTGGGCAATCATGGGCTCCACAATATAAGGACTGATGAGATGATATGCCTTCATCTCCCCCCATAGTTACTCATCATCAGCCCAGAGGAAGTCTCCACCCTCTGACACTCTTCCTCTATTAGACAGTACATCAGTCTGTGATGCATTCCAGGAGCTAATCAGTGATGATGTGTCAACATTTAGTTTTCAGCCAAACTAGAGCTCATCTGTCTGGAAATGGGTCAGAGCGTTCACATTTTAGTCTCTCAAAAGCTATACCATGGATTGGCACAGAAACATGCACAAAAAAATTGAGGTTTCCTTTAGTGCCACAGCAAAGCCGACAGTTTCATGTCACCTAGAAGCAGAAAGAAGGATTTCTGAATGAACCTATTGTGCACAAAGGGTCAGTAAACACCTGCTGCCGATCCTCTGTTCAAAGGGATAGTTAACACTTCAAACAGAAGCGCTAGTAAATCCAACAAACAACCACAAAGACATGCAAGATAATGGAAAAGAGACTCAGAATGTCTAGAAAGAGCAGCAGGTGACACAAAGTGAGTTAGAAACTTACAAAAAGAGCTATAATTAATGCAAATTGAGTGCAATAGACAGGTGTAACAACCACAAATGAGAGGCAAGCAAAATGAACACCAAGAGATATAAAACCTCTGTAAAGCATAGAAGTCGTTTGATATACAAAGAGGGTTACAGAGTTATTTTTGTGCACATTTTCATTTATATGTGATATTTACATGTCTACATATCTGAATGTTTACGCAGGCACTTTCAAAGCAGTAATAACTGCGTGTCAAATCTGCCAAGTTGGTTTTCCTGAATTTACCTGAGATTTCCTGGCTTCTGATTGGTTAGTGAGGACACATGGGGCTGAAGTGTGCTGAGAGTAAAGTTATCTGTCTCCATCTTGCTGTTTATAATCGTTTAGAGACATTTAGAACCACGTGACGAACCCTCGTGTTACACTGTTGTAGGTAAAATGGTTGTAAGGGCCCAGATTTGAAATAATAAACAAAAATTGGCGATGACTATTCAGAGAGGCCACGTGAATAAAATAATAAAAACAAGAGTGCTGAAAAAGATGAAAACTTAAGCATTTGTGTGCATACAAAACTGAGTAAAATAAACTGAAATTAAACAGTCTTTGGTATTAGTCTTAGTTGGATTGGCAAAATCTGTCATCCCAGCGTGCATCAGGAGGCTTTGAAGCATGTGTTCAATGAGACCAGGAGGTCTGCATGACACGAAAAGCTTAACATGCACCCACACAGGTCGCCTTGAAGCTGACATTTGGTCACTAAGCACATTCCAGGCTCCAGTTGCCTAGGTAACCCTTACTACCCTGTCACATATATATGGTAAAATGGTCTGGTACTCGTATAATGCTTTCCTACTTTATTTAAGCACTCGGTGCATGTTTTTACTACAACCCCCGTCCATTCACACTACTTTATTCTATGTCTAAAGGCTTTTAACCAAACATTCACACACCTACATCCCAAACATATGACATGTAGACTACAGAAGCTAGCTAGGTATTGAACTATGAAGAGCTAAAGCGCTCAACCTACTGAGCCACAGCTGCCTGATTGCTAACATCCTGCGCTCTCATGGACACTTTAGTCACCAGCAAGTTGAAATTACTGGTATTCAGCAGCTTCAAGCAACTACAGGTGAAGTGAGCTAGACCTGAGCTGGACTTTTCTCACCTTCCAGGTGAGAAAACGACTACCAATGAGAGTGCAGGATATCATTGATTGACACATGACCTGTTGTAAATATGTGTTGCCTAGGCAACTGGACCTTGGAATGTGGAAAGCGACCAGGAGTCCGTTTCATAACGATGCATGTCAGCAAATCGCTTACAGCTACCAGGTCACATGTCAGTCACTGATGTCCTGCACTCTCATAGGTCGTTCCATCAGTCGTTCACCTTGAAGCTGAGAAATCTTGGGATTTATTTACCCTCTTGTAACCTGTGGTGTTCTCATCCATAGTTGCTTGAGGTTGCAGACTTTTTATGGTCACAGTCCAATAGAGCAACTTTGGGATGCGGTGGAACCAGAGAATGTCATCATGGATTTGCAGGCAACAAATATACAGCATCTGTGATGCGATCATGTCAGTGTGGACGAAAATCTCTCAGGACTGTTTCCAGCACCTTGGTAGAATCTATGGCA